CCCTTCTAGGCAGAGCCTAGGTAGGGAAAAAAGCAAAACACTAAGAAAACAACATATGGGACCTGACAACGCTGCACTCAGTGCCTACGGCACAATGCTGGGGATAGGTGCATTTGTGTATCTTAGCTGCCTCGATACGCCCGTTTTGATACGCAACACGTGCCGTGTTCAAAACGTCCGTGTCAATACGTTGCGTGTTGGCTCAACGTATTGGCCCACGTTTTGGCGAACGTATCGCGTCAGACCTGCGTGTCCAGTCTACGTGTTGAGCTCCGTATCGATACGCTACGTGTTGCGTGTTGCGTATCGGGGCAGCTCAGTCGTGTATACATCTGTGCATACACACACACTTTTTGATTCGCGGGTCGAGAGCGCACCTCTTCCGGCCGAAGACACACACACACACACACACACACACATACACAGACACAGACACACACACACACACACACACACACTCACACACACACACACACACACACGGCTGCCGGGTCCCTGGGCCCTCCGGGGCGGCCAGCTCTTCGCAAGTTCCTCCACCCCCCCGGGCGCCCAACGTTCGCCTCGGGGGCCGGCGGGCTTGTTCGAGTGCCCCGGGGGGGGGGCTGTGGACCTCGAGAGCCCTCGTCGGCGCCCCCAGGGCCTCCTCCTCCTCCTCCTCCTCCCTCCTCCTCCTCCTCCTCCTCCTCCTCCTCCTCCTCCTCTTCCTTCTCCTCCTCCTCCTCCTCCTCCTCCTCCTGCTCCTCCTCCTCCTCCTCCTCCTCCTCCTCCTCCTCCTCCTTCTCCTCCTCCTCCTCCCTCCTCCTCCTCCTCCCTCCTCCCAAGAGGCCCCCAGGACGGCCGAGGACGGCCCCACGAGGAGACCCTGCAGGAAGTTCCCGAAGGGCCAAGATTGTCGAAAACGGTTTTCGCTCTCGCCAGAGGCTGGGGGGGTGAGATCGCAGTGGGCGGAGGCGGAGGAGGGCGAGGCGAGAGGTGAGGAGGACGGCGGCGAGGAGAGGTGCGGCAGGGGTGCGACTGGCCGCGCTGCGGGAGCGTGGCTGCGAGGCCGGGAGGCGGCGGCGCCCCCAGGCGCTGGGGGGGTCCCCGAGGCGATCCGGAGGAAGGAACCAGAGGTGGCGGAGGAGGGCGAGACAAAGACGAGGGCGAGGGAGAGGAGGGCGAGGAGGCGGAGGAGGTGGAGCAAGAGGAGGAGGAGGAGGAGGAGGAGGAGGAGGAGGAGGATAGGCTATGTTGGAGGACGAAGGCGCAGAGGGGGCGGAGGCTGCGGCCAGGAGGCGGCCGCAGAAGAAGGGCACGTTCGTCGTTCCAGGCCAGGAGGAGACGACCAAGAAGAAGAGAAGGGCCAGAGGACGAGGACGCGGAGGAGGAGGAGGAGGAGGAGGAGGCGGAGTCAAGCGAAGACCTCCAAGGACCAGGTCTGAGGGCGCCACTCGGGGCCGGGGTCCAGCTTGAGCTTTGCCGCAAGACCTGTTGCTCGCAACTCTGTGAGAGCCCCCCAGCAGGAAATCGATGTCGGTTTCGTGTTCGTGTCGTGCGGGCAAGGCGAAGCTGCGCAGGCGCGCGAGAGGACTGACCCGCCGTCGATGGGGCGATTCGGATGCAGTGGACCGCCCTTCCGCCCCTGGTGGGCGCTCGGTGGCCCGGGGTGTCCCGCCGTGGTGCCCCGTTGGTGTCTCGTCGGTGTCCCATTGGTGTCCCGTCTGTGTTCCGTCGGCGGTGGGCGGGCGGTGGCCGGGGGTGTCCCGCATTGGTATCGATAGTGAAGTAGATAGTGAGATCGATGAGCAGATCGCTAGAAACGGGATGGATAGTGAGATGAAGAGCGAGATCGACAGTGAGGTTGATTGTGACATTGGTTGTGAGATAGACGATAGTGGCTCTACATCGTAGCGCAATGTCATCACGCAACGTCGCTAACTCGAGGGCGCATCACCAGCATCGATATCATTACACCCATCGCATTTGCCAGCAGTTGCTTCCTTCTCCTCACCCCCCAACCTCCTTATCACCCGAAGGGCGGTCGCACGGGTAACGGGTGCAATGTTGCCATTATCGGTTTGGTGGGGGGGTCGCAGCGTCCAAAACGGCCACTGGGGCCCAGAAGATCGCCCCGAGACGGCCCAGGACGCCCCCGAAACGGCCCCAAGATAGCGCGAGAGGCCCCCAAGATGAGCCACGAGGCCTCCAGCATGCCCCGCAGACGCCCCAAAAAGGCCCCAAGACAGCCCACAGAGGCCTCCAAGACGGCCCCCGAAGGCGTTTATCGGGCCACGCGCGTTCTAAGACAGCCCCAGGGGCCCCCCAAGAGACCCGAAGGGGTCCCCAAGAAGCTCCGAAGAGGCTACCAAGAGGCTACCAAGAGGCTGCCAAGAGGCTGCCAAGAGACCCTCCAGAGGCCCCCAGGGGCCTCGGGGGCCCCAGAGAAGCCCCAGGAAGCTTGGACACACTCAGCACCAACGCGGCCCAAGCGAGCCCTGGAGCACGTCCCCACATCTTCCCAACCGGCCCCAAGAGAGAGCCCCACGGCGGCCACCGGGAGGCCGCGCGGGGGCTCGCGGCGAGGCCGCCGCGCTCCGAGGAGCGGCAGGGCTGGCGGCCGGGCGGGGCGCCGTTCCCGGCCCCCGCCGACCTCGGCAGGGCCCCCCGCACCACCTGCCGCGCGACGCCTCGCGGCGAAGCCGCCTCGCTCCAGCTGCTTAGCATCTCATCGGGGGGGGAAAAAAACAAAAAACAAAAAAAAAAAAAAAAAAAAAAAAAAAAAAAAAAAAAAAAAAAAAAAAAAAAAAAAAAAAAAAAAAAAAAAAAAAAAAAAAAAACGCCCGAAACCAAAAAAGCACAGGGGATGGACGTCCGAGCGATGGCCCAGCTCCCGCCCTGCCGGATGCGGCCCGGCACCCCGCACCACTTCGAGCGCACGACGTACAGAGTGCGACACGGATTGCACCGCGTCGACTGCGTGGCACAGGTCGCACAGCACGGGCTGCACGACGTAGATTGCACAACACGAATTGCATCATATGCTCCACCACCTGTATGGCATCCCATCCTACCCACCCGCTCCACTTCGCTCCATCCCACTCCACTCCACTCCTCCCTATCCCTCCCCACTCCGTTCCGCTCCTCCCCCTTCCCCCCACCCCTCCGAACTCTTCCGTGCTCGTCCCCATGCCTCTCTGATCCACCAACCCCACTGCTCCGCATTCCTCTGCACTCCTCTCGGCTCTCTCCCACTCCTACGCCTTCCTACCCACTTTTCTCCATTCCCCCCACTCGTTTCTAATCCTCCCCACTCAACTCGATTCGATCCCAGTTTACTCCGCTCAAGGCCACTTCACTCTATTTGATTATTGCACCTCGGGCACTCCGTCCCACCCGATCGCACTTCCCACCTCTCAACTCCACTCCACTTCTCCACGTGCTTCCGCACCTCTCCGCAGTCCACCCCATTATAAATTTCCATCCGATCCTCCCCACGAGACATTCCAGGAAAGCCAAATCGTACAACGAACATCTGGAGTTCATATGTTTACATGTTCTGCAGCTCCCACCGTGCCAAACCAGTCCACAGCCATCAAACAAAAACTGCCCCGATATTCTGTTCAGGAACTTCCTTGACGAACTCGCAAGTCCTGGCCTGCGTGTCAGCCCTGAACGACGCCACTGGGGCCAAAGATGCGCGTAGCGACAGCGCCGAAACAGCCCCAAGACAGCTCAAATAATCCCCTCGAAATACCATGACCGACCCAAGACGGTCGCAACACTTCTTCGATAGCGAGTCGGGCCCCCAGGACTGTCCAACGACACCCCCGACGATCACGCCAATCAACACCTACGTTTCGTCGCAGCGGCATGGGCCGCGCTAGAACCTTAGCGTGCGCGAAGCGCGCGTGGTTCTAGTACAGTTGTGTGTGAACCTATGTATACAGATATATGTGACACGGTCTTCTGATCATACATATATGTATGTATGTATATATAACTGAATATACCTATACGACCACCCTGCGGGTGATAAGTGGGGGGGGAGGGGGGCCAGCAATGGGCAACAGTGGTGATTGTTGCGTTGCCGCTCGCTCTTGGGACCATCGATCCCACTATCAATCTCACTCGATCGATCTCACTATAGATCTCACTCGATCGATTTCATTGTCGATCTCACTCTGGATCTCGCTATCGATCCCACTATCGATCTCCCTATCGATATCACTCGATCTCACAATCGATATCACTATTCATCTCACTATCGATCTCACTATCGATCTCACGATCGATCTCACTATCGGTCTCACTATCGATCTCACTATCGATCTCACAATCGATTTCGTCATCGGTCTCACTATCGTTTTCGCACCAGCGGGACACCGGGACACAAGCGGGACACCAGCGGGACACCGCGGGCCACCGCTTGCCGGTGGGAGAATCATTTGGTCCGGCCGGGACCCAGCCACAAGCGGGACACCGGCGGGACACCGGCGGGACACCGCGGGCCACCGCTTGCCAGAGGGAGAATCATTTGGTCCGGCCGCGCCTCAGCCACAGGAGACTTCCCTCTCGCCCGCCCACGCAGCTTCGCCTCGCCCGCACGCACGGCGCGCACGAACACGAAACCGAAACCGAGTTCCCGGTGGGGGGCTCTCCGTTTCACTTCGATCTCACCCCCCAACCTCCGATAATATATATATATAGATAGATAGATAGATAGATAGATAGATAGATAGATAGATAGATATATCGAATATAGATAGATAGATAGATAGATAGATAGATAGATAGATAGATAGATAGATAGATAGATAGATCTATATATATATATATATACCTCGAAACGATGTTTGCGTGTGTGTGTGTGTATGTGTTTGTGCACACGCTGGTGTGCCTAATTCATGTGATATTTGATGGCTGCCTATATGCGCCGCTCGTCATGTCAGTATTCGCCTCTGTGCAGGAGGACGCCTCCGTCCCTCCGCTCATCCCCCTGTGCTCCTTCTTACCGGGGGCAGGGCGGCCGATGCTGACGCAGTCAAGCAGATCGACCTGGACATGCCCCGCACCGCTGGCGGCGACCCATTGTTGTCTGCGCGGCACCGCGGGGAGGACGGAATGTGCACGCTTAGCGGATCGTCCTTGCTCTTAGTTTGGTGTTTGCTTTCGGAAGTCCCTCTTGTCGCAACGGCCGCTCGCAATTCGAGAAGTTGTTCAGATTGGTCGGGATATTGTCGGAGTGGAGCCCCGTGATTGGTTTTAAGGCGTTGGTGAAGCAGGATAGCGTGCCCCATGCGCTAGAGTATCCCCGTTTTTGTTCATGGTGATTTGGCCTGGAGCCGAGCCCCACCAGTTCGTCTCCTCAGGCAGGGCCGACGTGCACCGTTCGGTGCTGCGCAGCCTGCCCTGACACTGGCAGGAGCTCCCCTTGACTGCGTGGGATTTCTGCACATGGTGACCTGGCCTGGAGCCGACCAGCGCCTTGCGGAGAAGCATCAGGAGGAGCAGAATTGATGGCAAAAACCGCTCCTGACGAGGTGTCTGCTCGCGGTTTCCGCCTGTGCCTCGGCGGAGCGACCACCGTGCATGGACGGAGGCCCCGAGCTGATCATGCTCTGGGTTTGCAGCGCAGCCTATACAAACTCGGGCGGGCTCGAGCAACGTCAGGGCGGGCCTCCCAGGGCGGACGGGATCCGGACTGCAGAGGTGCCCTGATCCTTCGCAGCTCCTTCCTCTGCTCCCTCCTGCCACCTTCCTGGGAGCCGCCGCCACAGGGTCGGGCGGCGGCGGAGCTCACGACAGGGATGGCGTGGGCACGGGCGGGCGCACAGCAGACACGACGGATAGCAAGTCGGCCCGCCAGCAGGTGCCCCACGGGAAGCTCTCCGCCCCCGATGGCCCCAGGGGCCCACGCAAGTCCTGGGGCGCTTGAGGACCCTGAAAGATCTGGGAGGAATGTGCCTCATGATTTCTCATAACAAGCTCTCTCGTCGCATGGAGCCCAGTTCTCGGCCTCCATCGGGGGAGGCCTCAACAAACCCCAGCGGGGATCACGGTCTCCGGCGTGACAGCGAGACACATGCGACGTGTCAGATCTCGAGCGTAGTAGTTCAATTGTTCATTTGTTCGCGAAAACTCCATGAAGCGGTCCTCAATGCTGCCGAATTAGAAACAATTTCTTATCGCATGTGTATACTGCACATAGCACCCGCGCCCTGGGCGACAGGAAGGACGGGGCAAGGAAGCCGCTGGGGACGAGCCGCTTTCATTGTTCGCGAGGGCAGGAGAATCGGAGGGACCGACCCCTGCTCCTGATGGAGGGCAGGAGGCGCTTCGCCTCGTCGGTTTCGACCGTCCCTGGGACAAGAGGCCCCCCCCTCGGCAGGCCTCTTCGGGCGTCCTAGCCCCGGGCGAAGTCCTGGCAGCGTCCGCCCTGAAAGGTCCGGTGCACCAGCACCAAAGAGTCCACGCCATGGCTTGAAGTCATCGCTTGGCGGTTTTCTGCCACAAAGCCAGAATCTGTTGCACACGTCGGCTAGACGGCGATGACGCAGTGGCTCTCGCAATGCTCCTTTCAATCCTGGATCGACAAGGGCTGGTGGAAACTTGAATGATGATGAGAAGTAGCGCAACTGGCCCCACCACTCCCCAGCTGGGTTTTCCTCTGGGCGAGCTTGTGGCCAGGGCTGGGACAGATGCGGACCCTTCGGGGGCGAGCCCCTCACACCCCGTCTCCTCCTGTCCTGCTCCCTCCCTCGGGCAGAGGGGCGAACCCGTCTTCATGGGTCCCTCTTTCCCCGCCGCGCCGCGCGCTGGCCTGGAGGCTCAGCTGGGTGCGGGCCATGCTGATGCGGCAGCTCGCAGAGGAGCGCAGCCCCTTCTGCCTTCGCTTGAGTGGCGCGATGAGCCTGGAGGGCCCGCCACGCCGTGAGGGGGGACAGGGGATCCGGCGGAGTGGAAGCTACGGGGAGCACCCCGGGTCCTGACAGTCGCGTTGGCCCAGGGGGCTCAGGCTTGAATCGGCACACCGGCGGCAGGCTGCGGGAGGAAAGGGAGGAGGAGGACAAGGAGGAGGCAGAGACGACTAGGGAGGGAGGGCTAGGAAGGAGGAGGAAGAAAGGACTAGGAGGAGGGAGAGAGGACTAGGAGGACTAGGAGGAGCAGGACGAGGAGGAGGACGAGGAGGAGGAGGAGGAGGACGAGGACTAGGGAGGAGGAGGACTAGGCAGGGGCCAGACCTCCTACGAGATAGAGCGAGTCCAGAAGGGGCCCGGCAGAGCGTTTCCCAGGGGCGCCCCCGGAGATTTCGGGAGCCCCCGCCCCCCTTCCCCCCCGCGGCCTCGTCGGAGGGGACACCCCATCGCGCCTGCCCCTGCGGGCCGCGGGCTGGCCGGCAGCGGCCGAGCATGCCCCTGCCGAGCCCGGAGGCGAGGCCGAGGGTGGGGTGGGTGCGGCGCTGCAGGGCGGCGGCGTGCGCGGCGGTCGTCGTTGTCGTCTTCGTTGTCGTCTTCTCGTTCTCGTCATCGTCGCGCGCGCCCTCCCTCTGTCTTGCTCTCTCTCTCTCTCTCTCTCTCTCTCTCTCTCTCTCTCTCTATGTATGTATATATATACATATAATACATATATATATATATATATACAAAAAAAAGGCCGGGGGGGGGGCCAGGCCGGTGCCACCCTCCCCCATGGGCGCCCCCCGGGACCCTCGGGGGGTCACAGACCCACCAGGACTGCCCTGGGCCGCTTCCAAATTGCCCACGACAGGCCACGCGGGCCGTACAAATGGTCAAGAAAGCCTCAAGAGGCCCCGAAGACGCCCAAGATGGCCCCAAGACAGCCCAAGAAGCCCCGAAGCCGCCCCAAGAGGCTTCAAAGAAGCGTCCCAAGGGAGCCCCGAGAGGCCAAAATCGATGATGTTCAATTGTGTTTTTCTATGTTTTTGGTTTTGATCGCCTTTTTCCCTACCTAGGCTCTGCCTAGAAGGGTTCTTACTCTGTTGGCTTAAAGGGGCCGGGCAGTGCAAATCGCCCCGGGCGGTTCCCCCAGTCCCCTGGGACCCAAGCAAAAGCAACAGCAAAGGTAAAAGCAAACGCGCGGTTCCCCCAGTTGCGCTCCCTGGGTGCCAAGCAAAAGCAAAAGCAAAGGCAAAAGTGAAGGCAAAAGCGAAGGCAAAGCAAAAGCATAGCATAGCATAGCATAGCGCAGCATAGCACAGCGCAGCATAGCATAGCCTAGCCTAGCCTAGCCCAGCATAGAATTGCGCAGCATAGCGTAGCAGAGCAGAGCAGAGCAGAGCAGAGCATAGCATAGCATAGCATAGCGCAGCGCAGCATCCACGGCGTATACCGCTCCTACTAATGTTGCTTTCCTAGAGGCTCCAACTCCTAGGTAGGGTCGCACTGGGATAATTACCTTTCCGACGCTCCAACACTGTCCAGGAGACCCCCTTGACGGCCTGAAGAAGGCCCTGGACAGCCCCAAGACAACCCAAGAGGCGCCCCAGAGAGCCTTAGAAAGCCCAAGAGGGCCCCGAGAAGGCTTCCAGAGGGGCCCACGAGGGGAAACAAAAAGTCTAAATGTTATTTTTCCGCCCTGAAAGCTTCCCAGGAGGCCCCGAGAGAGCCCCAAGACGCGCCAAGGAGGCACCCAAGAGGCCCCGAGGAGGTCCCCAAGAGGCCCACAAAAGACCCCAAGAGGCCCCAACACGAGCGCCACCCCCGCCCCTCAGTCAAGTTGCGTTCACGCCGCGCTACGCAGACGCCGTCGCGCAGATCCAGGAACCCCCCGGAGGCCATCAACCAAGCGGGAAAGGGAGCCGTGGCGCAGATGCATCCTGGGATGCACACAATGCCCACTGACAACGTCTTCGGGGGAGACTAGAACCTAAGCGCGCGCGCGAATCGCGCGCGTGGTTCTAGTGTGTATATATATATATATATATATATATATATACACACCTTTATTGAATCGTTTCGCTCATTCCGCCTGCCCATAACTGCGCGCTGTTGTCGACTGACCGAGTGGTCTTTCGCGGTGCGGAGCTGCAGGGGCGGCGGCTGTTTCATTTTTTTCTCAGGGCGTGCGTTCGGCATGTGAGGCTGCTTGGTGGTCGCTGGGGGAGTCTTGAACGCGTCGCGGGCCGTCTGGAAGCGTTTTGCCTGTGGGGACTCTTTCGGGAGGCCTCTTGGTGGCCTCTTGGGGACTCTTAAACGCGTCGGGTCGTTGGCACTTGCTTGCGTGCTCGGGGGGGGGGGGGGGGGGGGGGCATTTGGGGGGCCTCCTGGGGCCGCTTGGGGGCCTCCTGAGGGTCTGTTGGGGGCCTCTTGGGGCCTCTTAGGGGCCTCTTGAAGACTCCTGGGGGCTTCTTCGGGCCGAGGGCTCGAAGTGTTGTTTCGTGTTCCCCCCCTGGGACCTCTCTTGGGGCGTGGGGCCGTCTTGGAGCTGTCGGGGCCGTCTGGGGGGCATCTTGCGCGTCTTGGAGCGATCGTGTGGCATCTCGGAGCTCTCTTGTATCATCTTGAGGGGCTCTTGGCGGCCTCTTGGCCTTCCTTAGGGCTCTCTGGACGGCCTCGAGGGCGGCGCCCAGGAGGAAAACCATCTCTGACCCGCAGCGCCCTGGACCTGCCCGGGGTACTTTTCTTCTGGGGAGCCCCAGGGGCCGCCCTGCGCGCGCTAAGTAGAATTACTGTACGGCGGTCGCCGCAGATCTTAGCACGCCTCTGGCCCGTTGGGCCGGCGAATCATCCGTTCTTTCTTCGTTGCTCTTTCTTCTCCTTCTCCCTCTGCTGCAAATACTCCTCCTACTCCTCCTCATACTTCTGCTTCTCCCTCTGCTGCACCCCGGGGCTTCATCCCCGGGCCGCGTACCCGGGGTCTCGCCCCTGGGCTCTTTCCTTGTCTTACGTTCCCCAGGTCATTGTACCCGGGGCCGCTTGCCCTGGGTCCCGCCCCCCCGGGCCGATTTCAGAGAGCAAGCCCCGAGTCTTTGCCCCAGGGCCCCGGCCGCCTGAGCCCGGGAAAGTTTGCAAGCTTGCGCGAAACGCTTCGGGAGCAGTGCCCAGGGGGCTTGCGAGGAAAAGCTTCGCGGAGCCGCGCCGAGCCTTCTGAGCTGATCCCACAAGCTCGCCCGACCGGCCAGGGCGCAGCGCCTGGGGCACAGTGGCCCTGCGACGTCTGCGACGTGTGCGAATGGGGAGGTGCAGCCTGGGTTGTCCCAGGCGCAGTGCTGGCTCTGTCCTCCAGGGGTGGGCACAGTCATGCTGGCTCTTTGGGCCGACCATCCCTCCCGCAGCCCCCGCGAATGAGCGGCCCGACGCCCGCGCCCGCGCCCGTCCTCACCCGCCCTTCTGCGGCGCCATCTCTACCCGCGCGCGGGGGCGCGCTACCGCTCGTGGGTTCGCTCGTCCGCGGAGCGGTTCCGGGCACCAGGCCACGGATGCTCGATGGCTTTCTCTGCTCTTGATATCATTCCCCCATCTTGCGAGAAACGATACGTAGCACACCACAAGTGCGGAGAAGAGCGCGGGGCCAGGAGGGAGAGATTGGCGAGGGGGAATCGGAGCTGCGAGCAGCCGTTGCTTCAAGCAGTCCGCCTTCCCGGCGCGCCCTCCCGGCGCGCCGCCCCGACTCTGGCCACGCGCTAGCAGGGATAATGCACGACCGCTTGGGCCCCTCTTCCTGACTCGCTCGGGAAATCTGGTTTCAGCGGGCACTTTTTGAACAACGTCACCAAGAGAGACACAGCAGACAGAGAAAAGTGTGGCTGGATTGCGACGACAACTATACGATCTGAGGTTATGGGGCCGAGGGCCCGCCGCGACGCCCTGTTCAAGGCCGGATGTCCGATGCCATCGTTTCCACTTGGTCGGTCCATGCAGTGCAGGGAGTTGGGCGGGGCACCTTCTGCTGAGTCCCTTCAAGGGCAAAGATCGGGAGGGGCAGGCTCACGGGGTGGACGCATCGACCCCCAAACGCCCACTCGTCGCTGATAGGTGGCCCGGTAGCCCATCCCGCCCCAGAGCGCGCGCGCAAGTGCTATCGGGAGCCTATCGCCGATCGATCCGCGATGCACTCACGATTCCCAATCAAGGCGCCACCCTCTGGGCTGGCCCCCCCCCCTAGCATCCCTTCTGGCCCCTCCTCGATCAGTGACAAGTCAGGCACTCGCTGGAGCCGCTCCACAGGCGCCCTCAGAACTCGTCCTGAAGGCCCTCGCGGCGGAGGCCATGACGACGGACTTGGCTGGCTTCGCCTGGAACAACGAACTTGCCGTTCACCTCTGGCCGCCTCCTTGCCGTATCCTCTGCCTTCTCTGCCTTCTCTGCGTCCTCTGGCCCCTCCTCCTCCTCCTCCTCCTCCTCCTCCTCCTCCTCCTCCTCTTCCTCCTCCTCCTCCTCCTCCTCCTCCTCCTCCTCCTCCTCCTCCTCCTCCTCCTCCTCCTCCTCCTCCTCCTCCTCCTCCTCCTCCTCCTCCTCCTCCTCCTCCTCCTCCTCCTCCTCCTCCTCCTCTCCTCCTCCTCCTCCTCCTCCTCCTCCTCCTCCTCCTCCTCCTCCTCCCTCCTCCTCCTCCTCCTCCTCCTCCTCCTCCTCCTCCTCCTCCTCTCCTCCTCCTCCTCCTCCTCCTCCTCCTCCTCCTCCTCCCCTCCTCCTCTTCTTCCAAATTACTGACCCTCCTCCTCCTCCTCCTCCTCCTCCTTCTCCTCCTTCTCTTTCTCCTCCTCGTCCTCCTCCTCCTCCTCCTCATCATCATCATCACCATCATAATCATCATCACCATCATCATCATCCTCATCATCATCATCATCATCATCATCATCGTCTTGTCCTCCTCCTCCTCCTCCTCCTCCTCCTCCTCCTCCTCCTCCTCCTCCTCCTCCTCCTCCTCCTGCTCCTGCTCCTCCTCCTACTCTTCCTCATCCTCCTCCTCCTTCTCCTCCTCTTCCTCGTCCTCCTCTTCCTCCTCCTCCTCCTCCTCCTCCTCCTCCTTTTCCTCCTCCTTCTCCTCCTCCTCCTCGTCCTCCTCCTCCTCTTCCTCTTTGCCCCGAGGGCGGGGGCCTGGCACCTGTTCTCATGGTGTCAGCGCCACGCACTCTTCGGGGCACGCTGTCAGTGTCAATTGCATGCGGCGGCTGGGGGCAGATATACAGGCTTTCGCCGTTCTTGCACCAGCCACGTGGCACTTTGCCCATGGCAGCGGCGCGTTAGCTGCGCCCGTGACCTGGAGATGGGTACCAGGCACGGGGAGTGTGCATTTGGTTGAGAGGCGGGGCCATGTGGTCCGGAAGTCCCTTGGGACCTTGTGTCCGCTCACCCTGGGGTACAAACCAAGTTGCACATGCCATCCGATTCGGCAGGGGTGACGGTCGGGAAGTACTGCGCGGTGACGCGGTGAACCGGCTGTCCCCCTACGCACCACGCCGTCCCGGTTGAGCGCAGCGAGTCTGCCTTTCCCCTGAGTCCGGGACGATGGTGACGGTTGAGCCTCGCTCGCCGTTCACTTTTTGGATCTATGACAATCATGACCTCCTCCTCCTCCTCCTCCTCCTCCTCCTCCTCCTCCTCCTCCTCCTCCTCCTCCTCCTCCTCCTCCTCCTCCTCCTCTCCTCCTCCTCCTCCTCTCTCCTCCTCCTCCTCCTCCTCCTCCTCCTCCTCCTCCTCCTCCTCCCTCCTCCTCTTCCTCCTCCTCCTCCTCCCTCCTCCTCCTCCTCCTCCTCCTCCTCCTCCTCTCCTCCTCCTCCTCCTCCTCCTCCTCCTCCTCCTCCTCCTCCTCCTCCTCCTCTCCTTCGCCCTCCCTCATTATGGGGGCCCCCTCTTAGCATGGCCGGCGGCTCGGAGACACCACGATACCTCGGGCGTCGCCACATGTGTTTCCAGGATTCTTGGGGGGCACAGATGGCTTCCAGGGCGCCCCTTACGAGGATCAGAAGGCCCCTGCGGCTCCAAGGTCGCGCGATAAGCTGGGGATTCGTTGGGCCATGGCCACTGCCAGCAACACCCGAGCCCCATCGAGGACCCAGATCTGGGTTACTGCCAGGGGATGAACCTCGTCGCGGCGATTTTCGGCGCCGCCGCGGGCTCGTACGTAGAGGAACGTGGCCGGCCGCGGCCCCGCGCGCCCTGCGAGTGCGAGCGCGCTACGACGGGTCAGGAAATTGGCGAGAAGAGAATTGTCGGCAAGCGTGCCGCCCCTCGCCGGCGCAGTTCCGAACAGTTCCTAGGTTTTTTTCATGCCTCGAGATGCGTTCCAGCTGCCGCACCTCGCCGAGAGCGTTCCCGGGGCGCCGAGATTGCCCCGAAATGCCGCCAGAGACCCGAGTTGGCCCGAAAATCGAACGACCCTTCGCCGGAGTGACCTTTGGTGCGCGGTTTCCGGGGGGCGTGGGGGGAGGGGGCACGGTTCCGAAGCCGACAGGTCGCTTGTGCGGCGTAGCGCGTGCAAGTGTGACAGAACGGGCAAGCCGCTGACGCCGGGGGCACCTCAGACAACAGTGGACAACCTTCGTTTATGACGTGGCATAGCTACACTTACTCGCGCACACGCACGCTCCACTTTTCATTATGCCTGCGACGCGCCCGCAGGGGATGCAAAGCCACAGTCAGTCAGGGGGGGGCCAGACCAAGGCACGCCAGCCGGTACTGTCGCCTCCCAGGCAGCCGTTGGCAACCCGCGCACTGGAGGTCTTTCTTGCTCAGGGTCGCCCCTACGCGCAGCCGAGGAAGGGCGGCGCTGAGCCGTCTCGAGCGATTGGAAAAACGGATTCGTCTTCAATGACATTGGCGCGTAAGCTTCCCGCGTAAGGCGGCGCGTAAGCGCCTTCGTCTCGAGTGTTGCGTGCCGCATTGGCGTCTCGCATATAAGCCACCGCGCAGTGTCGCCCCTGTCACCTCGCGTAAAGCCTTTTTTCTTGTCGTCGTTCACTTGTGGGCGGAAGGAAGCAGAGTGGTGGATGAGGGTTTCGAAATGCCTGGGGGTGGCCGTCACGCGGCAACGCCCCGGGCAAAAAAAATAAACAGTTGGGTTCCAGACCTGCTCGTGGGCGTCGTCGCCATTAAGATTCTCCAGGCTCACGCCACATCCGCCGACCCCTTGATTCGTACCGGCGGCTATCGCCGCGTTTCCGCCTTCACTGCTCGTAGCTGCCAGGCGTTACAGTGCAGTGGCAAGTGCCAGAAGAAAAGATTGAGAGGCATGGCAAAGCGCATGGAAAAAAGAACGGAAGAGGAGTAGTCGGAGGTGGAGGAGGAGCAGAGGGAGGAGGAGGAGGATGAGGAGGATGAGATTGAAGAGGATGAGGAGGTCGAGGATCAGGTTGAGGAGGATGAGGAGGGTGAGGTTGGGGAGGATGGCGAGAGCCGGGATCCACCGGAGCCCGGATGACCCCGGCTCGAACGCCTCTGGGCTACCTTGGGGCTGTATTGGAGGCCTCCAGGGCCGTCTGGGAGCGTCGGAAAGCCCAAAAGGCAAATTTGTGAAAAATGTACGTTTCACGAAGGGAACGGGCCAATTTTTGCGCCGAGGGGCCCTCCTGGGACGCATCTTGGAGGCCTCTTGGGGCCTCTTGGGGCCGTCTTGGGCCGTCTGGAGGCGATCGTCGGTGTCTTTGATCGCTCTTCGACCGTCTGTGACCATATTGAGCTCTCTTGGAGGCCACTTGAAGCGCTCCTGGAGCGCTCTTGGGGCCGTCTTCGGGGCCCTCTTGGGCAATCTTGGGCGCCTCTTGGGCTGTCTTGGGGCTCTCTGGGGCTGCCTTGGAGCTTCCCTGGAGGCTTTTTGGACCGTCTTGGGGCGGTATTTAGGGCCTCTTGGGCCGTCTGGGAGCGTCGGAAAGCCCAAAAAGCGAATTCGTGAAAAATGTACGTTTTACGAAGGGAATGGGCCAATTTTTGCGTCTAGGGACCCTCGTGGGACGCATCTTGGAGGCCTCTTGGGGCCTCTTGGGGACCTCTTGGGCCGTCTTGGAGGCCTCTTAGCCCGTCTTTGAGCCATCTTGGGCGTCTTGGAGCGCTCGTTTGGCGTCTCGGGGCTCCCGTGGGCCGTCTTGAAGGCCTCTTGGGGCCATCTTGGCCCGTCTTGAGGCTTCCTGGGGCCCGGAAAAGCCCCGGCGGCGCTCGTCCCGGGCCCGGGGGGGGGGGTCAAATCGCCGGTTTGGGGTCCCGGGGGGGGGACTATAGGGGGGGAACTATCTCACACGCCTAGAGACCCACAAGGGGTCGGCGGATTACATGATCTTCCTCTCCAGACATATTTTCCGGCAGCGGAACAGTTGTCCCCCGCTCCTCTTCTCAAGTGGCACCACGCATTGCGATGATGCGCTCGGAATACCTCTCCGCCCACGTGCTCGTTCACACGCTTCCCTTTTCCCAGGGTCGCGCGCGCGGGTACGATCGCGATCGCGTTTTCACAAGCTGCATTGGCTTGAGCCATATGGAGTGGTGGGCGAGCCTTGTGCAATGAATGCTCTGGCAAATGGTAGTTGGACCAAGCATATGTAGCAGGGTTCTTCACTTTAGTAGCGGATACTGCGAAGGTGAATCGCGTGGCCGTCTGCAGGTGGACACGTTGCATTGATGTTGGCGCGCGGGTTCCAAACAGTGACGTTGTGCAGTCTGTGGGACACAAGCCTTGTGGTGCAACTTGTTGGGTGGTGCAATCGATGGGATGCCTTGTATGGGGCGCAATATCTGGGGTGCAACCTCTGGCGTGCAATGTACTACGGTGTGGCCCACCGCATACGCAGGCCGCCTTCAAGGTGATATGAGGTTGGGGATGACATCATCTTTAATCCTGTCAGCTTTGGAGTATTAAATAATCCCCCCAGGGCTCATCAATAGACCCCGCGAGGCGCGAACCCTTTTTTCATCACGCGTGCCAGGGGGTCGTCGCGGGCGCCGCCGAGGGGATCGTGTACCCCCATGCACGGCAGCCTGAAAACGATTGCCTCTCGTATAGAAGTTGTTATAAGGTCGTATACAAGCGAAGCGCAGTTCCCCCCCCCTCTCAGGCTGATTCCTGACGGGCCACAACAGTCGTCGTCGTCGTCGTCATTGTCGTCGTCGTCGTCAAGCACAGCGGGCCTATGCAGCACCCCCTTCCACCCCCATGGGGCATGCGCAACAGTGCGTCGTCGTCGTCGACGTCGAAAGCGGGCCTACGCAACAACCCCCTCCACCCACCCCCCCCCATGGGGCATCCGAAGTGCGTCTTCGTCCGACGTCGTCGTCGTCGTTTTCGTCGTCGTCATCGTCGTCGTTTACAGCGGGCATGCGCAGCACGCCCGCCCCCCCACCCCATGGAGTATCCGCCGTGCGTCGTCCGCACTCGTCGTCGTCGTCGTCGTCATCGTCGTCGTCATTAATGTCGTCGTCGTTGTCGTCGTCGTCGTCGTAGTGCATACTGTAGTGGAAGGAGGGACGAGGGGAGAAAGAGAAAGAGGAGTCCTTCCCGCCTGCCTCTGCCGTTCATCCCCCCCTTTGTCCCGTTCCTGTTTGCAGCCATGTCGGCACCCGCGCCAGCTGAGGCGCCTCTTCCTCTGCTGTTTGTAGCCATTTTGACCCAAGCGCCCCGCTAAAGCGGAGGTGCTGGTGTCCCCTCTCCGCTTAAGCGGCGCCGCTCGCGTCGCACCTGTCGCCCTCTTGCTGGCGGCGGGGCATCGGCGGTAATCACCAGCGCCGCTGCCGCGCGTTTCCATTTGGCGGGTGCCCCCCCCCCGCGATTCGCCCGAGCAGGGGAACAACGCGTTTAATCAAGCGCCCCCCTTTTTTAAACAATCGCACGCTGACAGTACACCAGAGAATCACCCCAATCACTGGATGGTCTGAAAAGAAGCGGTATGGATATTGAGATCGATTGTGATATCGATAGCGAGATCGAGTGTGGAACGGTCGTGAGACAACTAGTGAAGTCGGTTCAATGAGGTCGATAGTGAGATCAGTCGTGAGGTCGGTCGTGCGATCTATAGTGAAATCGATTACGGGATCGATATTGAAATCCATTGTGAGATGGATGGCGCCGGAATCGGCCTTGAACGAGCAGCCCGGAAACCTGGAACCCGGATTTGGAAACCTGGGAACCCGGAGCCCGGAACACGGGACTGGCATGGATTTTTCGGCCGCCCACCGAAATCGGCAGGGATTGTTCGCAAGGTTTTTCAACATTTCCTAGGACCCCTCCAGTGCAAATGTTGATGGAAAGTTACGCATTGAACGCATCATTTAGTTCATTAGCGCAAACATATCGGGACACCGAATTCGATGCTTGTTTGTTGTTTTACACATGTGTGTATATATAAATTTGCAGACACGTAGAATGGATCCGACGATATGTATACATTTGTGTGAAGAAAACTTAAACGTGTGTTCACAAGTGTAAAAATGTATTGCCAGCATGTGAATAAATATATATATATACATACATACATACATACATGCATACATACACATATATACACACACGTTATTATATATGTGCGTATCTGTATATATGCGTATATGTATATGTATATGTGTATCTACATATATATATATATATGCGATTGCATACTACGGTGTGTGGTTGGATAGTACGTAATCATGTGATGATACATCAGGTCATATACATATATGTGTATATATATACATGTGTGTACAAATGTTCGTTGGATACTCATGTGGGGATACGTGTATGTATTGTGTACAGATTTACAAGCGACACGTGAGTGCCCAGGCTCATGCAAAAAATGGTGGCCCCTGGTGGGGTTGCCGCAGTTTGGAATTAGACGACACATTGAGAAGCACCCTTGTGGGCATGAGAAAACAAAGGTCCGAGCGGAGCTGGAAAACTACTGTGGGAACAAAATCAAAACTTTCAATTTCGTATCAGCGATGTGCCAAAGCAGCGAACGCCATCCTGTGATTCAAAAGTTCACCGACCAAGAACGCATTGGAAACCATTGAAAATTTGTGTTTCCCGTTCTTGCGCAAAGGCATTTAAATATATCGTGTACTTGACGGCTTCACATTCAAATATTGGAACCCCTACGCGTCTGGGGACCGTGACGTCGCGATCTGCGTGAGGGGCGCGCCCGGTTGACAGAGCCCTGGTGATATACCCAGCGAAGCGGCAAGAGCAATCGCAGAGAGGACCACCAACAATCGCATCTGAGTTCGGCTCCCCTGGATAGGTGCGTATGAATGTATGTATACATACAGTCAATGCGCCTAGCAAGGACGCGCGCCTTCATCTAGGGTACCCTTGTGTCCTTGCCTCTGAGGCCCGTCCTTGCCATTATCACTGGTCGCCCGCCGCCCTAAAAAAAAACAACTTCGGCCTCCAAGGGCATTGCGTCCTTATCACCCGTCCTTAATACACGCTTTGATTGTATTTGTTGTTTATGCCAAGATCCCAAAACAGTGCTTGCCCCTGGGAGTTTTGACTTTCTTTCTAAAGCACTGGACTTGGCTGGGGGTCTGGCGGCGCCGTGCTCGCCGTCGCCGCCTCGTCGCCGCCCGACGTCTGGGCCTGGCTGGGGGTCTGGCGGCTCCGTTCTCGCCGTCGCCGCACCGTGGCCGCCTCGTCGCCGCCTCGTCATTTGGGGTTGGCTGGCGGTCTGGCGGCTGTGTGTTCGCCGTCGCCGCCCAGTCGCCGCACAACATAGATTCTCCTTTCTTTAAACAAGGTAGGATCTACCACCCACCCACCGAACTCTTCCACCTCCCATGGGACAGCACGATGTACATACGATTATGTCACATCGTTCAGTCTTCATATGAGTGCATATCATCCCAGCCAGACCCCCTTTATCGACACCCTCACTCGCCCATGTCGAATAAAACTATGCGCGTGCGCGCGTACCCGTTTATCAAAAATCCACAGTTTTCAAGAATTCAATACTAAAGATGGGATCAAACCGACATGCGCGTGCCGTCGCGCGCGCATGCAGGAAGTTGACAAAAACCGCAGGCGTCGCAAGGATGTCAAGATCGAGTTCCCTGGAAATATATAAAATAAGTGGTTGCGCAACATGGTTGTTCACAGAAATCTGCGCTCTCTTGCGAATTATTTCGGAAACCCTCTTGGTTGTTCCAACAGTTTCATCACATGCGACCGAGCGGGCATCTCGCGCGCGAGTGTCGGAATCATGCGGACGCATTTGCGCGATTGTTGGGGGGCGATCTTTTTCACAAAACACCATGGTGGCACGATCCCTTTTCAGATAATACAATTCGTCGGCCGCACGCGCATGGCGAACTCCTTCCAAGACTTGCTTTGCCGACACGTGAACACTATTATCGCCATCGGCGTGATCAGCCTCGGCGCTATCATTAGCCTTACCGTCGTCATCGTCATCACCGACACCAGCATCGCTACTGTCGTCATCGTGTTTGCCGTGGTCGACAGTGCCATGATATCGCGCCCGCCCGAGTCACCGACTCGCGCTGAAATGCTCACGCGTCAGTGTGGCCTGCGACTCGCGTTGGGATGTCCCCAGCGGTCAGCGCTGCCGCGGCCACGTCGGTCGCGCCAGACTAGCTGGCTGCCTTGCGCGGGAGTTTGCGGGCGTTAGCGTGGCCGCAGCGATGCGCCCGCCAGCGCCGAGCAGTCAGCGCAATCACCGCCGCATGGGTTTTGCAACCCCGGTTGCGGGCGGTCGGGTGGCATGATTGCGCAACCTGTGGAGTTGACAAGTCGCGAATGAGCATGCATTAATTGCAGCACATTTTTTGCACAACATATGTCGCACAACTTATATTACACCACATATGTTGCACCACATACATTGCACCACCGATACTGCACAACATACGTTGCACTACATGGATTGCACAACCTAGATTGGACCACATAGAGTGCACCACATAAGTTGCGCAACCTGTGTTGCACCACATGAATTGCACCACATAAAGTGAAAATCCATACATTGCTGCACCACAATGATTGCACAATACAGACCTCGCCACGTAGATTGCACAACATGCATGGCACCGCATAGATTGCGCCACACAGATTGCACAACATAAACTGCGCAACTTCTCCCCACAGATCGATCGATCGGTATTAGAATGCACCCGTATAACCCACAATCAAAATATTACCCATATACTTGTATTTGTTTAATTTTAGAACGCACCATCTACTCGATATATATATATATATATATATATATATATATATATGTTGGCGGTGCGCCGTGGCACGAACCCCCCCCCCAGCACTACCGGGGGGTTTCGTGCACTACCGGGGGGTTTCGTGCAGCCCGCACCGGGTGCCGCCAGCGGCTTAGAACACCCCCCCCTTGCCGCTTTAC